TGTACCCGCCGCGGGACTACTTTCTGTCGCCGCGCGCCCCGCCCCCTGTGTCCACTCTACTTTCCTCCCCGGCGGAGGGGCACCGCTCGGCGGAGCGTGAAGCGTCCCTGTGTGAGCCGTGCCTCTATTGGGCCCGGGCCATGGCGGAAATGAGAGCGCGGTGCTGATTGGCCCGGCCTTCCCTGCAATGCGTCAAACTGGGGCGAGCCACTGCGTGGTGGTGGTGAGGAGTCTGAAATGTGTGGCCGTGTGGAGCTGTGAGGCGTAACGAGGAGAAAGAGAAGACTGTATGACTGTTAGAGAAGCAAATACATCGTCTTCGTAGCCAAGGAGTGATAAAAGGGCTGATGAAAGATGCAGAAGCACTTTCTCGGCTCTCCCCTCTAACAGATGGAAGATGGTGCAATCCAAAATGCTGGTCTGGAAGCCCCGCCCCCAACTGGGCCTTACGTGGTGGCGGGGTCTTCAAGGTTCGGGTCGTCGTCTAAAGGTTCCGCCCGTCGGGGAAGGTGTCTTCGCTCTGAGACACACTCCGCAGGTTTGCAGAACCCCTATACCCGCTTCACTCGTGATTGGGTCTGTGAAATTGGGGCGGCCCCAGACTGCCTCCAGGACCAGGGCATTCATTAAGTAAGCCTGACTTGGGTGCCTGCTGTAATGCAGGGACTTGTGCTTGTTTGGGCTGGGGAGACCAAACTTTCCAGGCATTTAATCAAATGGAGATTACTTCATTTTTTCACGTATTGGTACTCAAGAACCATCCAGTTTAAATGATGGGGTCCCAGATATATAGAACTCTTCAAAAAGAATTAATGCTTTTCTGTTTTTATATAAATTGTGTGTAACTTGTAAACCTTCGTCACATCTTTTGCACCCTGGCAATGTAGGACAGCCTAATCTCAATCCCTTCACTGCCCCTCTCCCAGTACAGAAATGGCTGGGACTGTATGCAGCAAAGATGATTCCAGGGGTCCCTATTCATGTCTGTAACCATTAGACTGTAGTGCATGGGACCATTTGCACAGATTTCTACCACTTTCTTTTCCTTCCTGGCGAAAGCGTCACAGAGGCCAAATCTCTGGAGGAGATGGCTTTATGCTCTGTGAGCTCAGTGCATGTTTTACCTTGGGGCATCTGTCCTTGTGGGTTAACCTGATGTAGTTTTTTCGTTCATGTGGTGCCCATCCTAGCTTGGGCAGTTCTGTTGGGGACAGGGACTGTGAACCTGGAAGACCCATTTGTAGCGGCTTTTGCTCCCACAGTGGCAGGGAACAGCTCTGGCACTGATGGAACTAGATGTTAACTACAGTGGGCCTGAGGCACCTGCCAGCAACACCAATACTGGTTCTTGCTGCAGATCCTGCTCTGGTCTATACTCCTGTCACCTCAGTCTTCATCTGAGCCCCATTGGATATTCTTTTGATTTCCGTTTTACAAATTTGGACACTGAAGTTGCAATGGACAGATAGTAGCAAAGCTGGGATTTGGACACTGGCCTGCCTGGCTAAGAT